CAAGGAGCAGCCTGGTTTAACCTTCTCCAAGATGAATCTGTTTGTTTTCTTGGCAGTCCATGGTACATTCAATACTCTTCTCCAGTACCACAGCTCAAAGGCATCAATTCTCCCTCTATCCTCCCTAGTCATTGTCCAACTCTCTGATGCATAACAAGTGATTGCAAAGACCATAGCCTGTATCAGACGCACCTTAGTCTCCAGAGTTAGACAAGTAGGCAGTGTTAATATCCACAGACAAATACATGCCTCAGCCCTGCCCCTCCCCAGCCTTCCCTGTACACTCTGAGTTCCGAAAAGACTACTACTGCCTGCACCAGACGCAAAGTTTTTAAACTTTTCCAAAGATTAAAAGGGTTAGATCTGGGTCCCACCGATCGACACTTTATGGATAAGACCTTATTGTATGTCCAGAAACTTCTAAACTTTTAGCAGTGGTGGAATGAATAAATAACAGGAAATATCATTACAAACAAGAGTCCTTGGTGGCATAGTGGCCAAGTTGTAAGGCAAAGTCTGGTGGTTCAAAGGCAGCTGTCTGCCTCCATAAATGTTTGCAGCCTTGGAAGTCATTCTATTCGATCCACAGGTCACGATGAGTTGGAATCAACTTGACAGCAAGGGCTGAGTTTAGGTACGATCACACAGTGGAATATTACAGAGTGCTGAGAGTAAGAGTGAATTACAACCACATGTGATACATGATCCTCAAAGGTATTATGTAGAGTGAAGGAAGCCAGACTTTACAAAAGAACACACAGTGCATGATTTCATTTGTATAAAGTTTGAAATTCAGAATGTTAAAATTGAAGATATAGCTCACTTGGGGGTTACTGACAAGAAGTGAGTGCACACAGGTTTCTTGGGCTTTTGCAACATCCTGTTCTTCATTTAGGTGGTAGTTCCACAAGTAGGCCTGGTATCAGGCCTCTGAAGTACGAGTTCTAAGGTGACTAAGTCAGAAAGCACAGCTCTCCAGAGATAGCGAGAAGTGGATGGATGTTACACTCCATTATCGGAGAGATTCCTCACCAAACCCAAGAATCTGAGGGTTGTTTTTTGTTGTTATGTGCCTTCAATTCAACTATGAGTCATAATAATCCTATGAATAATGGCTCTGAACCTTATCCTCTTCTGAGCCAATCTGTTTCTGATACACCTGACTCCACTGCCACAGTCACTGTGTCAATCAATTTCATCTAGGGTCTTCCTTTTCTGTGCTGACCCTCTAACCCTTCCAAGCACGATGTCCTTCTCCAAGGACTGGTCCCTCTTGATGACATGGTCAAAGCATGTGTGACAGAGCTTCAAAATCCTTGCCTCCAAGGGGCAAGGTGGATGTTATCATATTCCATGAGCTTCTGGAAACTGTGGAGCTGGCCACAGGAAGGGGCCCAAAGAGGCTGTTGTGTTCCTTAGTCAAGAGGCAACCAAGTTCTCTCTAATCCCAGCCCCTCAATGGGGAGGTTTTAGGCTGTGCCGGGCCAAACCAGTTAGAAATTCCATGAAGCTCCTATTAAGTCAAGCCTAGATGAATTGGAGTAAGAAAGCTGAAATGAATTTAGGTGAAAATGTGCTTTCAGACAGCTTAACACAAAAGCTGTTTGGTATTTCAGAGCACATGAATCTGAAATTAGGATTTAATGTTATTGGCCCGTTAATGTCCCTGAGAAAATCCTCCGATGAAGAAAAGGAATGATCTCTCTCTCACACCAAAGTGTGTGTATGTGGGATCACGTGTGTCTCAAGGGCTTAAGACAGTCTAAGCCAGGCGTCACAGAGTCAGTGCCAACTGTTGCGAAGGTCTTCAATGGCTCCCTTTTTTGGAAGTTGATGACCAAGTCTTTCTTCTAAGGAGCTTCTGGGAGGCCTCCAACCACTAAGCTTCCGGTCAGCAGCTGAGTGCGTTGACCATTTGTAACACCTGAGGACTCTGAACACAATCTGTTGTTGTTGACAATTGCCACTGAGTCAACTGCCAACCCGTGACCCTACATGTGCAGAAAGAACTAGGTTTTCAAAGGGACTCTGGTGATCTAGTCCACAGGAGGGAGTTACGCTTCTAAACCAAAGGTCCCATCTCTCTGATGGTTCAGATGCACTGTCCACTCTGAGGGAGAGAGATGGGCAATTGCCTCTCATGTGATTCACAGCCTTGGAACCTCAACAGAGGGTCAGCTCTGAGTCACCTCTGAATCCACAGCAGTGAGTAATGAGTATAGGATTTTCAAAGCTTTGATCGTCCAGAAACAAATCACCAGGCTTGTCTTCCAAGGAGTCTTTGGGTGGATTTAGACCTTTCAGTTAACAATCAAGTACTGAAATAATAGGCACTGCTGGAAACAAAACAGATATTTAAAGCATAACATAGATATTTGTGTGGAACATATCAAATATATGAAGCTTATAATTTGAAAAAGAAAAAAGAGAGAGAGAGAAAAAAAGAAAAAGTCAACTTGTGTTTAGTCCTTGTCACATGTGCAAGGACCCGTGAGTTCAAGGAGTTTTCATGCCTCAGACTCAACCTTGCTCCCATGGAGTGGATTCCAACTCATGGTGAGCCTCTGCTGGGCCCGTCCTTCTCCCACAGAGTTCTCACTGGATTCAAACCACTGGAGACACACAGCCTTTTGGTGATCAGCACAGCACACAATGGATTATGCCGTCAGAGCTCCTACCATGCCTGATAGGTGCCATCAAGTCGACTACAACTTACAGTGACCCCACAGACAGCACACCGGAACCCTGCTCTATCCTGAGCCATCCTCATCCTCTCTGATATGCTCAAGCTCACTGTCAGGGTCACAGTGCGTCAATCCATGTTGTTGAGGGTCTTCCTCTCTCTGATCCTCCGTCTTTCTCAGCCTGATGTCCTTCATGTCTATCAAGCAATAAAACTGTCTCCTTCTTCTAAAAAGGTATCTTTACCATGTTCATTGGAACCACAGCAGCACATGGACATAGCACCCACTCAGGTGCACCCCTCCCACCCCCCACCAGCGGCCTCACAGATAGGACATGAGCAGCCACCTCCTCTTTCAGGAAGCCCTCCAGGACCTCACCTCTTTTGAGGTCTCAAGGGTGAGGCTTAAGGTTTCCAGACCCACTCTCTTCCCTCTCTGACCAGGCAAGAGGGACCCTCACTAGTCCAAGCTTGTCTGTTTAGCCCCTTCTCTTTGAGAAGGGAAGTCCCAGCTCTCTGAGGCACAGAGAAGGCATCTGTTCCTTTTCCATCCACCCTCACCCAACAAGCCTGACACAGGACTGGCCCCTGGGAATACAATGTTCAAGGAAAAACTCTTACTTGGAGATGTATTTATCTTGTCCACAAGGGACTAGGGATGTTTGGCCGCTGTAATCCATTCTTCCTTTCTCTTCTCATCAGAAGACGAGGCCTGTGTCTGAAAGAAGAAGAAAGGGGTTAGTCTGAGATTGTGCCCTGAGAACTCACTGGAACGGAGAGAAAGGCGCAGGTGGACACAAAATCAGGACGGCATGGGCCTCTGTCACAACCTGCAGCCCACGCTGACCCCAGGCTGGTGGACAGCAAGCTGCTACCACCTCCGCTCACATGGCCCCTGAGGACAAACACCAGGACAGGCAATGGTGACCTCGAAGACTTCCAGGAACATATGCTGCCAAAGCCGGAGGAAAGGCAAGACACCCAGTTGGGAACCCAGCGTTCTCCTCCCCCTGCAAGAAGTTTCACAACATAGACCTGAGATTTACAGGCCAAGGACCTGGCTCTGGTTCCCAGCAAACTCCTGAAAACAAGACTGAATGCAACAGATATGACCACGGTCATTATCAGAACACAACCATGAGAAAAAACAAGCAGACTGCCTGGGAAAAGAACCACACACCATCAAAACTCAGGTTACAAAATTAGGTACACATGATGAGCTCGATTTTACTTAAAATATGAAAATATATGCATGTATGTGTAAGTATTCAGTTATGTGTGTATTCTCCCCAAAAGTCCACAATCACAGAGGCCCCAGGTCTTACAGAAAACTGCCCCATGGGGTTTTTCTTAGCTGCAATTTTTACAGAAGGAAATTGACAGTACTTTCTTCTGTAACATCACCAGGTAGGTTTGAACTGCTAACCTTTAGTACAGTCTCTCATTGCTGTCTGGTTGGAGTCAACCCAGAGCTGATTTTCAATTGGGTTCCAAGCTATAAATCACTCTGGAGGAGATTGCTCATTTTTCTCCCGTGGAGCGACTGGTGGATTTGAACCACCAGAGAAATGCAGTCTTAGGGTTAGCAGCCCAACTACGGATGCCTGTGGACGACACTACCAGAGCACCTTTGCACAGTAACTGAATGCAAACATTTGACCCCCACTTCCCCTCCCTACGCCCCATCCTAGGGACTGGATTGGTTTTTTTCACCGCTCTCATAATAAATTACCACCAAATAAAACTTAAAAACATACTCATTTGCAACAATGAATGAATGGAAATCCAAGTTCTCTATAAACTTTTATTAAAATATCAATTTAAAAAAATTGATATCCTGAGCAAAAAAACAGAAACAATACTAATTTACAATCTCAATGGTTCTGTAGGTCAAGAGTCCAACACCAAAGCCAAGGTCTGGGCTCCACTGTGTTTCTTTCTACCAGCTCCAGGGCAAACCCTTTTGCTTCTTTTTACAATGTCTGTTTCTTTCTACCAGCTCCAGGGCAAACCCTTTTGCTTCTTTTTACAATGTCTGCAGGCCACCTGCACTCCCTGGCTCATGGCCCCTTCCTCCATCTCTACGGCCACAACAGCGCTTGACAGCTTTGCACTCAAGAGTATTCATGTCACATGTGGTCTCTTAGGCTGGGTCCTTGAGAGATGGTGGATGAATAAAGAGAAAGAGAGAGATGATGTGGAAGAGCTTATGTACTTAGAAAGGCAAGTCCGGGTTTATAGGTCAGATTTCAAGATGGAGTCATCTGGCACGTCCAAAGGTAATTGTTGGGAAACAGGGTCACAGACAGCGGCTCTGAAGAATGATGAGACCAAAGTCACCAGGTATGGCAGGCCACTGGGTTCATTCTGGAGCCCACAAGCCAGAGAGCCAGATGTAGGTCTGCCAACTCACTCTCCAGTTTCTTCAACAGAGTCCAACCATAAATACCACTCAGGCCACAGCCCTGCAGAGACCTGCCTTTAATCAGATATAAATGATCATATTTTCAGATCTCCTTGTAATCCTGCCTCATTAACATCATGATGTTGCTGTTAAGTGAAGCTCAGACTAGTGAGAAAAGTGTTCTTCCTTCTTTCAAGTAAGCCCTGGTGGCGCAGTGCATACGTGTATGGCAGCTAACAGGAAGGTCAGGAGTTCGAACCCACCAGCGGCTCTGAGGGAGAGGGATGGGCGACCTCGTCCATGAAAGACCTACAGGCTCAGGAAGCCGATGGAGGGTCGACGTGAGCCAGGAGAAGCTCGAAAGCAATGGGTTTGGTCTTGGTTCACAGCACCCCCTGGCGCCTTCCGGGCTGGTGCTCAACTCCCAGCCAAAAGGCCCTTGGCAGACAGGGCTGCTAATCTGGTTCTGAAAGGTCACAGCCCCAATTCCCATGGACTAACTCTAGCCAGCACACAGGGACCCAACACAACAGAACCAAAAACAAGAGCATCTATTTAAAAAGAAATCCCATCAAAGTTATTTCTATGTACATGCAAACTTAGGCATTCAATAAACACACATCTGGTGGCCTAGAGATAAGGAGTTATGCTCCAGCCTAAAGTCTGAATCCCCAGTTGCTCGAAGGGAGAAAGATGGGCAGTTTCCTCCCATGTGATTTATAGCTTCTGAAAACCTGTTGGAGGATCAGCTAATCAGTGCCTTAGACTATACTTTTTGTTCATTTTGATTTTGAACTTCACTGTTCCTCCAACTGGGTGGAGAATGGATTGAGATGAATACAGAAGTGGGAAGGGCAGGTGAGGTGCCTGAGCAGGGAAGGGAGAGTGGACGTGGAACCACTGAGTCTAAAGAGGTTAAAGAAGCAAAGGCCAAAGACACAGGTGTCAACAAGTCATTTCTGAAAAGCGGACATGTTGCCAGTCCAGATGTGGGCTGCAGGCTGAGGGCTAAAGAATGACACCAAGGCGGCCGGGGAGGACTGGCAGAGGCAACTGTGCCACTGTCACAGGCCTGAATGAGGAGACAGGTCACAAGGAGACGACACTGAGGACTCAAAGGGCTCCCAGGAAGCCTAGCAAGTCAAGAATGACCCAAGAAGTGGAAGCCCAGAAGGAGACAATCAGGAAGAAGGAAAACCTGAGGAGAATGGCATTCTGGGAGCCAGACATGGTGCCCAGGGGTCGAGGGCACAACCCCAGCACTGACAGAGCCCCAGGAAGGGAAGCCCAGGGTATCCTCTGATTTCAAGCACACACAGGCACGGGGACTTCATTCTGAACTAGTCACTAGCTTGACTAGAGTGGAAGCTAGATTTAATGGGGCCTGGCCAGCAGCAGGCCTCACACCCTGAAAACTAAAATGTGCTTCTTCAGTCCGAATAAAGATGTATCATCCTCTCATTACTGCCTCTGCTCCTTCCACTCTCTGTTGTCATTTGAGAACCTCTCATTTCCTCTCTCTCACTATCCCTCTCTCCGGCCCGCCTTCCTTCCATCCCTCCATTCCCTCCAGTTAAGTCTTTGTCCTTTATCTATTTTACTTATTCTCCTCCAAATTCTCCAGCGAATCTTCTAATTCACTGCCTGACTATCCTGTAGGGCCCTCTCTTTTGTTCACTGCCTCCATCCCGGCCTGCAATTTGGTGATTTGATTTTGCATCTGAAAGCAGTCAGTCCCGCTCAGGAGACAATTCCCTTCTGATGTTGTGTCCTATTGAATCGCACCCAGAATACCAACTAGAGTTGACATCTCTGCTGTAGACAGCATGACTGCTTGGTACTAGAGAGAAAAACAGACCAAAAAAGTAATTCAGACTCAAGTATATTTATGGACAGAGAAGATGAGTAGCATTTTAAAAGCAAGGGGAAAAACAGGGATCAAAAAGTTACACATTAAAAAATGAAAGCACAAAGCAATGGTAATTAATTTTATCAAATGTAATGTACAAATGATTGTATAACACACTAAGCACATGTACAAAACATGATGTATATGAATGATAATATGCCAACAATGAAACTTTTTTAAAAAAATGAAAGCTTAAAATGCTAGAATAAGATATAGGAAAGTATATACGCACATGTATGTTATTTCTTTTTAAAAAAATATGGAAGTTCAGGTACCTAGTGGCTTCTTTTTACAAAAAAATATTATTATTTGTGTGTGTGTACCATCAAATCATATCTGACTGGTACAGGAAGAATTTGCCACTCCTTCTCCAGCACAGCATCTGGTGGATTCGAATCATGTACCTCTGGGACTGCAGTGCAGCTTCTTGCCACTAGGCCACCAGAGCTCCCTTACATATATGTTATTTCTGTTGTTATGTACCGTCACGTTTCAGCCTCTGAAAACCTGCTGGAGGGTCAGTAATGAGTTGGTTCTGACTTCATGGAGACGAGTTTGAGGTGTTTTTGGCTTTTTGTAGTATTCATTTTAATGAACGTTTACAGAGACTTAGGATTTCCATTCATTCAAAGGAGCTACTCTGGTAGCACAGTCCACCAATGGCTTCGAGGGAGAAATACAGGCAATCTCCTCCCACTAAGATTTACAGGCTCTGTAACTGCCGGAGAGCAGACTCCACAGCAGTGAGCACCTTCCGGTTTAACTCCCCTCTCCTTTGTCCTCCTCAAAGACAACATGTGCATCTCTTTTCACAACTTCCCGGCCATTAGCCCCAAAATCACTGGCCCCCTCCATATGCATGCAAAAGCTGGACAATCAGTAAGGAAGAGCAAACAAGACTGACTATATCCGTGTCAGGGTGCTCACTCATTTCTGTCAAGTCAGAACCAACTCGTATCTCCACGGGGCTTCAAGGCTAGAAATCACAGGAGAGGGTACTGCTCAGCTTTCTCCTGAGAATGATTGTTGATGGCGGAGGCCAAGCAGGACTCCGTTCTGTTGTCCACAGCATCACTATGAATGGAAACCAACTTGATGGCACCTCACAACAACAACTAAGACAGATAGCAGGGCTAACAAAAAGCCGGAAGTTTAGAGTTCAGCCTGACAGTCCTTAAATAGAGCATTGTTCCTCTCTCTCACAAGGAAGGGTCATGGAAGATTGTTTAAGGGGCTGGAAGGCGAAGTCAATTGACTATTTCCTCTGAGGGTGACTGCCAATATCTGAGGCCTTGGAGAGAAAGATCCACTGGCTGGTACTATTCCTCTGCTGGCCGTGTTATTAGTTAGCACTTACGATGCCCTCCTGGGCTCCA